AAAAAAAAAAAAAAAAAAGACAGCCAAGCATCTTCAGAAAATGGACAAGCATCTTTTGCCCATTCTAACCTCGTCTCAATCCCTGTATCCCAGAGGCCTTTTGTTCCTAGGTTGTGCATACATCATTATTTACCTCTGTCCCACTTAGTCCATGCAAACCTGCCTGATTGCATTCCCATCCACCTTGTTCTTCCATTCCCCTCCCCCTTCTTGTGTATTGGTACAATGTCTATTCCATACCCTGTGCTGCCACTTTTCCCTCCCTTCCCTGACCCATATCCCAGTAACCAGCAAAGAATCCCCCTCCCCGCTTTAGTATGGGTTCTTTTTCTTAGTCTTTTACAGTAGTGGTCCTATGCAGTATTTCTCCTTTTGTGACTGACTAATTTCACTCACCATAATGTCCTCAAGGTTCATCCATATTATGTGATAGCTTACAGACTCCTTGTTGTTCTTCAAGGTAGCATAATATTCCATTGTGTGTATGCACCACAGTTTGTTTATCCATTCTTCCATTAATGGGTACTTAGGCTGTTTCCATCTTTTTGCTATTGTAAATAGTGCTGCTATGAACATTGGTGTGCATCTATCTACTCATGTTATGGCTCGTATTTCTTGTGGGTAAATACCAAGTAGAGGAATTCTGGATCATAAGGTATTTCTATTTCCAACCTTCTGAGGAAACACCATATTGCTTTCCAGTGAGGTTGGACCATTTTGCAATGCCACCAGCAATGCAGGAGTGTTGCAGTCTCTCCACATTGCCATGGTATTTTCAATTGCCTAATACACACGTGGAGTAGGAAAAGCACTGGACTGTTAGAAGTCAAACCCACCAGCTGCTCCATGGAAACCCTATACAGGATCGTTATGAGTTGGAACCAACTAACAGCATTTGATAACCACCACAAAGGCCACAACATACACAAGTGAATGTTGGACAATGCATAATGGAGATCCTAGACAAATCAATGCATTTGAGTTACAGTGTCAGAGGACACAGAGAGTACCATGGACTGCCAGAAAAACAATCAAATCTGTCTTCTTCCAAGTCAGCAGAATTCTCCTTAGAAATGATGTTGGAAGACTTGGTTTGGTCTCTTCTGCTTTGGACATTATATCAGGAAGGACCAGTCTCTGGAGAAGGACGTCATGTTTGGTAAAGTAGAGGGTCAGCGAAAAAAGAGGAAGACCCTAAAGTAGATATATTTGACACTGCAGCTGCAACAATGGCCTTAAACATCCTGAGGATGGCGTGGGACCTGGGGTAAACATACCATTTAATGTGTATCTTTACAAAAACTAAGTTATAAGTAAAAATTCTGAACACTATAATCAACATTTTTACAAGTTCTTTACCACTCGATTGTTAGCCATGTTTCTACAACTATCCTTATTTTTCATATTTGAAAATGTTCATAAAATGCTATTGATATAAATGCATGGAAAGAGAAAGCAGTCTGTCTTCAACCCACACTCTCCTCTTGACTGTTGTTAGTAAATATTTTATTCTTCTTTAAGAAGCCCTGCTACTGATGGTGGCTATGTGCCATGGAGTCAGTTTCGACTCATAGCAACCCTGTACAGGGTTTCCAAGGCTGTAAGTCTTTAAGGGAGCATAAAGCCTCTTCTTTTTCCTGCGGAACAGCTGGTAGTTTTGAACTGCTGACCTTAAGGTTAGCAGGCTGATTCGTAACCAGTACGCTAGCAGATCTCCTTCTGCTACTGATAATAAAGTGTAAAAAAGGTGGTATCTAACCTATTTCTACTATGGAATAAACCTGTGCCTCACAATAATCATATGTGTAGTTTAATTACAATTGTTATATACATTAAGGGTATTGGCATGGTCCAGGTCAGGAGACATATTAGCAGCCCAATTCATAAACACTACACTACCAGAGCTCCTTAATTTTCTTTAATGTTGTTGTTGTTGTTATGTGCCATGGAGTCGGTTCTGACTCATAGGGACCCCGTGCAGGGTTTCCGAGGCTGTAAATCTTCACAGGAACAGAAAGCCTCATCTTTCTCCCGCGAAACAGCTGGTAGTTTCAAACTGCTGACCTTGCGGTTCACAGCCTGATTCGTAACCACTACGCTACCAGAGCTCCTTAATTTTCTTTAATAGTCATGCTAAAACCTTATGAACATATTTAAAGACTTAAGAAAAATTGTAGTTCCCATTTATCAATGTAGAGAGTTATTAACTGCCAAAAATGAATGAATTTAAATAAAAACTCAGTCTTAGTGTTAAAACTTTGAAATTCTTTCAGGCCTACGAGATTCTGAGGGGACTGCCGAGATAATGGAGGGGCTCTACTGTGTGTCAGTGAAAAAGAAAGGAAGGCTCCAGTTGTCCAACTCACCTCTCCACAGTCTCTTTGGATTGGTGTGAGGTAACCACAAGACGGCTGGCCACTGCTTCTCCGTTTCCTGGAGAGTTTGTCACACATGGAAGTTCAGGTGCTATTAGACACAGCCAAAGAGAAGAAACAAATGGTTACAATACTGTCTCATCAAGCCCAAACCCTCTGCATCAGAAGGTTGGATTCATGTCACATGTGTAATTTACCAGCTGTGTGGTATTGGGCAAGCCATTTAAATATTCTGTACATCAGCTTCCTCATGCAAAGTGGCATCTACACTTCAGACAGTACTGTGAGCTTACATGAGTTAAGATTTGCAACCATCACTTGTCTGTCCGTTTGTTGCACTGTGGTGGCGGCTTGCATGGTGCTGCGATGCTGGAAGCTATGACACACAGTATTTTGAATTTTGAATGTTGGCAGGGTCACCCATGGAGACCAGGTGGATGACTGGAGTATGCACTTGTATGACTGAAGAAGGACTTTATGCTTGGTAAAGTGGAGAGTCAGAGAAAAAGAGGAAGACTCCCAAACAGACAGACTGGCACAGTGGCAGCAGCAATGGGCTGCAGCTGAACAACAAGGAAGTGTTTCTTTCTGATGTGCTTAATGTTGGTATAAGTTGGAATGGACTTGATGGTGCTGAAAACACACAAAATCCTTAGAATAGTGCCCTGCGCATTGTAAGGATGGAAATAAATGTTTTCATTGTCTTTGCTTACACTAAGATGACTGTATAAAAATTTTATAATTTTAAAACGAAAACAATTAATGAAGGTAACCACTAAGTTGACTGATGGAATACAAATTGAAATCTTACAACAAACTGATGCAGCACTAGAAGCACCGTCCCTTTTATTCCAAGAATTTTGGGAGACAGCTACCTAGTCAGATGATTAGAAAAGATCCATATTTTTGACTATTCCAAAGAGAGGTGACCCAAACAGAATGCAGACATCATTGGACAATATAATTATATCATAAGCAAGTAAAATTTTTCTAAAGATAATTTAAAAACGGCTAAAATGGTACATTGACAGGGAACTGCTAGAGGTTCAAGCAGGATTCAGATGAGGACGTGGAACGAGGGATATCATTGTTGATGTCAGATAGATTTTGGCTGAAAGCAGAGACTATAAGAAAGATGTCTACCTGTGCTTTATTGATATGCAAAGGCTTTCGACTCTGTGGATCATGACAAGCTAGGGACAAGACTGTGGAGATTGAGTATTCCGGAACACATGACTGTGCTCAGACTCATTAACAACCTTTGATATGTAGATGATACAACCTTGCTTGACAAAGCAAAGAGGACTTAAAATTCTTGCTGATGAAAATCAAAGACCACAGCCATCAGTATGGGTTGCACCTGAATATAATGAAAACAAAAATCTTCACCACTGCGCAAATAAATAACATCATGATAAATGGAGAAAAGACTGAATTTGTCAAAGACTTCATTTTTGCTTGAATCCACTATCAATATTCATGGAAGCAGCTGCCAATAAATCACATGACATACTGCATTACGTAAGTCTGCTGCACAAGACCTCTTTTAAAGTGTTCAAGAGCAAAGATGTCAGTCTCAGGACTAAGGAATGGCTGACCCAAGCCATGGTATTTTCAATAACTTTATATACGTGTGGCAGTTGGAAAAACAATAAGGAAGAATGTAATAGAACTGATGCATATGAGCTATGGTATTGGAAGAGAATATTAAAAGCACCATGGACTGCTGAAAGAACAAACAGAGCTTTGTTGGAAGAAGTATAGCCAGATTGCTCCTTAGAAGCCAGGATAGTGAGACTTTTTCTCTTGTACTTTAGACATTTTATCAGGAGGGACTAGTCCCTCGAGAAGTACATCATGCTTGGCAAAGTGGAGGGTCTGCAAAAACAGAGACCCCAATGAGATGGATAGTCACAGTGGCAGTAGCAGTGGGTTCAAGTGTAAAAACAATTGGACTGGATAGTATTTTGTTGGGTTTTGCATAAGATTGCAGTGAGTCCGGGCCAATCTGAGCGCACTTAATAACAACAACAACCGACTGAAACATTTCACTTTTCCTTTCACTTTTGTTCCTTCCTGGATTGATGTTTTAAAAGAACTGATAGGGAAATAACCAAAGCAAAAAACCCTCAAACCCACTGTCATGGAGCTGATTCTGAATCATAGACACACAGTATAGGGTTTCTGAGATTGTAAATCTTTTGGAAGCGGACAGCTTTGTTTTTCCCCTGTGCAGTGGGTGGTGGTTTTGAAGTCACCTTGTGGTCAGCAGTGTATTGCCTGACCCACAGTGCCACAATAAAGGGAGATGAAGAACAAGAGAAAGATGGAAACCAAGCAGCCTGGTAAAGCAAACTACAGCATCAGTCTCTCAGTCAGTTCTCACTGAAGGAAACTTACATCCTCAATGAGATCTCTGTCAACTTGAAGGAGCTATGCCAGCTTCCAGCTTAGGCTTATTACATCAGTTGTGAAGTTAGCATGCTAAAATGCATCAGGTTTAACATCCAGATGCTAGAATAGTTCTATTTTGAAGTAAACTCCAAACACCAATAATAAATTATATTGAAAACCCCAAAGAGTTTACAGGGAATGGCTTTTCACATAAATCATCTGATTTGACCTTTCTTCAAGTCAAATGAGGTACTTCAGTCTTTTGTTTTTTAAGCAAACAAACAAAACAAAAATGAACTACCTCTGATTCCTTCTTGTCTTACTGTAGATGAGGAAAGACTGAATGGTGAGCTATCCACGAACTTATATATGGAATCATGAAGACTGCATGGGTGTGAGAAGGGCAGCAATAGAAGCTGGAGACTAGAGACTGTCACTTACACGGTTGACTTCAATGGGAACTCAATAAGAACATGTATGAAAATATGCCTAACATAAGAGACATCAATTAATCATTAATGAAATCTATACACCAAAACGAAAGTTTATTTTATTTTTACTTAAATTTAATTTAAAATTACCAAGGAATCTGCCCAAAGTCTATAGCCAATGAACATATATGTTTTTTTTAAGTGCTGCCAATTCGGTTTCTGACCTAGCGGTTCAAACTGACCTTTGGTCTTGTGCTTATCCTACATCACCACACCAGGACTCCTCATGGAGACCCTATGTTCAGAGGCACTACAGAAGGACATATATGTTGTTAAGTGCCGTCAAGTCAGTCCCAACTCATAGTGATCCTGTATAGGGTTTCCGAGGAGTGGCCGTTGAGTTTGAACTGCTGAGTTGCAGTTCAAACCAACCATGTGGTACAGCACCTTATCCCATAATGCCAACCAGCACTCTCAGGATACACATTGTTGTTGTTGTTGTTGTGTGCTGCGGAGTCGGTTCCGGCTCATAGCGACC